GGACAGTTCATGGCTAGCTTCTTCCAGACAGTTATTGAAATGAAAAGCCGTGACAGTTGTTGAGTTGCTGTTGAGGATCCATCGTTGGTGATAGTGTTCTATCATCTTCAGTTCAGCGCTTAAGGTTCGAAAAATCCGGTCGAGGCTTCTCCTTTTGACTGCAAATGCCATACCATCCGCTTAGGCAACTTTATGGCTGATGTTGGCGGCATGTCGCTTTTGTAGATTTTGAATAGTAGGGGTGCCAGGATGGAGCGTTGCGGCAATTGGCCGTTTATTTTCTTTTCCGATTTGAGATTTTTTGATCACCTACTTGCACCTGGCCTTCGGTTGCTCATCAGTTGTGCTAAGAGGCGCATGATACTGCGATATTTCTAAAGCTGCTAATGTCTCCACACCATGTCAGAGACGTAACTGAGATCTGTGAGAATGACTCTGATCTTTTGCCTTCTTTGGAACCGAATTCGATGCACAATGCTAATTCGATTACTTGATCGGCACAGCTCACGTCTGATCGAAACGTTCCTGATCATGAGTGATGACCCTCAGTCAGTGCTGACTCTACTCCTGGCGTGGGACGTGGGCAGAATACTTGCACCAGCAACTTTATATTCCGCTGAGGAAGGAGATTGGCCAGAAGCTTCACTACTCTTCAGAAGGGCTTTCCGAATTAAAAATGGTGTCCACTTTTGCAGTCTTCCATATCGCCTGTACGGCGGGTTTTTCTATAAAGTGCGGTGAGCCCTTTGCGGTCGTTTTGTCCCTGTTGTTTAAAGAACTCGAAAAAAATTCCGTCAGCGGTTGCCTCTCTACTGCTCTTTGGTTTTAGCGGGACCGCAACAATTACCATATAATGGACTTGGTCCTTCGAAATCAGTGGTAATACGGCGAAGATTTTGTTCAGCTCTCTGAGAGTCTTTTGTTCAATTTTCTTCTCTGCCCAATATTTAGTTTTCTGTAAGAGCTCGATACGACAGCGTAGGCGGTCACACTTGGGCCGATTTTCGTAAGCGGTCTCCACCCAAATCGCATAGGATCCCATGTTTTGCTGAAACAGGTTTCAGACAGTTTTCTGTAAGCGTTGCTTCTTTTGGCATCCCAGGATCCTGAAGGCAATCCTGGTTAAAGCTTGGTTCCTACGCTTGGGCCGTTATTTTATTCGTTGTCTTTTAGAAACAGTTTAGTTTCAGACTACTAG